TCAACGCGCAGATTATCTGTGACTGCGACAAATATATAACTTCTTTTATCACTGGATGGCCAGACTCATGTGGGGATAGCCGGGTTTACAAGAGGATGCAGCTGCATCTAAACCCATCAAATTACTTTGACAAAGGTTAGCATTGATTACTCCCTCTGGTATAGGACAAAAAGCTCACTTATTACTCTCTCATAAGGGCAATACTTGTTGGCCGACTCTACGTATGAGCTGAGCCATACAGTGATACCTGCTTACAAGTTAACTGCAGCTAACATCACGATCAACTTGCAATTCAACTATTGCTTGGCAAAGGCTAGGGTTCGAAACAAACATACAATTGGCGTCCTCAAGTCTCGATGGAGCTCATTGCGGGAGATGCGGTTACATCTGTATCGTCGTCAGCATATGAGTGCATATGTTGCTTGGCTGTACAGTTGTAGAATACTTCAAAATATCCTTGCAGGTCTTGGTGATCAGTGGGCTGAGCTCGATGACCACGAGTCGTTACCACCTGATGATGATTCAGATGAAGACAATATTGACGAAAGTGCGGAAGATTTCAGAGACCGCTTGACTATAAATTGTGTATGCTACAACATGTACCAGAGGGGGATTTTGTAGGAATATGGCCGTCTTCTTTTAAACCACCTTGATTCCCTCTTGTACCCCAAAGAAAATATGTGATAACTATTACTGTTAGTCGACCGAGCCAAATATGTGACTACTACTACTTTTTGCTCTCAGAAAACCAGTTCAATTTGATCACTTGTTCATTGCTTGTATATTTATCTCTGCAGGCAAAAAGAAAAACAACAAACCACAAGATTGAGAAGAAGTAAAATAACAGACCGATCAATTGTACCTTGAATGTGAGCTTGAGTCAAGGGAAGTAAAAAAGAGACCAATTGATTGATACCTTAACTGTGAGATTGAGTCTAGGGAAAAGAGGCACTCGATGAGAGAGAGAAGTAGACAAAACAGGAGGTCATGTAATAAAAAAAAGCAATATATTAAAAAGGATTTGAGATCAATCAAAAAAAGTGAAAAAAAACTTCCTATTGGAATCAACATGTTCGGAAAAGTATCTACGCAACCAATAGTCTGTCAGCAAGTTGAAAGAAACATGATATCAATGAAAATTCACCTACAAGTTCTAATCATAAATCAGCCTAATGTATGCCTTGATCTCGGACTGGGTCCTCCCCTGGTTGACAAGCTCCATGATGATCTTTTTTTTCTTGTTCCAAAGCGCTACTTGCTTTGTTTCTTTTTCTTCAGCCCGCTTTTCTTCACAATTGTATCTTTCTCGCTCCCAATCAAGTTGCCTATTCCATTGGTCTACCTCTCGTGCTTCTTTTTTTTTGGTCGCAGGCGTCCTCACGCTGCATTCTTTGTTCCTCAACTTGTAATTGACGCTCGATGATTGCAAATCGGGAGTCGGCCAAGCTTGAGAATGCGGTCGCCAACAAGACCTTTGGCGCTTGTTGAGGAGGGTTTGATGGCGAACTTGCCGAGATCGAAGCCGACTGGGAGCACCTGCCAAGAGGTGTTTGAAGGCCGCGAGCTGATTGTCTCCCACCCCCACCGGGGACACTCGGAGTTGGTGTCGTTGGCTGGGTTGAGCCCTTGTTGACTGATTGGGGATCTCCTTGAGCAGATTGGGATGAGGGATTTCTTGTTGCCGTTCCAAGATATATTGAGCGGCTCAGTGGAGTACTGTTTGGCAGAGAATCAGTGAATTCGTCGGTTGATGATTCTTGGGTAGGGTCCCTCCCCAATGACTCAGACCCAGCGGTCTCTTCCACTTGATCAATTGAGGAGGTAACAGTTTTGAGCCGTTGCCCAGTGGGAAGATCACCTTCTTGACTTCCGTCACTTTCTTCGTCAATTGGAGGGAGCTCAAGGCCGGGTTGTGAGTGGTCAAATTCCAGCATGGCAACGACATTGGCTTTGTCTTGTAAGATAGCGTCAATACGATCAAAACATGGACATATCTTCTCTAGAGCCTCTGCGAGTGTTTTCAGTCCTTCACTACTCTCGATTCCAGCGCCGGTATTCTCCTCAAACCGTTTAGCTTCTAAGTATTTTTTCTTGTATCGATCGATTCAAAGCTGTAATCTCCTGCCATTGAGGAGTAAGTCGGGATTCGTGTTATTCATCCACACTGCAAACACGTTGAAAGCCTGTGTTTTCGTCATTTTTGTCGTTCCCACCCCAGTCTTTGACCCATCACCATACAAATTGGTATAATGTTGAGTGTTCTCCAGATATGAACAGATGTTCTCAAAGTTGCTATGCACAAATTGCTTGCCTCGATTGTCAGCATATTCCAAGCCACTCAATCTGGTCGATCTCAATCCACTTCGTGTTTTCCTTCTCTTATCAGCTTCTTTTCTCTTTCCAGCTTCTTTTGCCTGTTTTTCAGCTTCCCTTGCCTGCTTTTGGGCTTCCTTTTCTTGATTTTTGATGAGTTTTGCCATCTCTCGTTCTTGCTTGCGACAAAGTCGAGCCTGCTCTTGCTCAGCACGAAAAACATCCATCTCGTCCTGGGTGCGGCGGCGACGTTTGGGAGCCGGTGGAGGAGGTAGTTCGTCTAGTTCAGTAGAGTTGTTTGCTTGACAATTGGCTCGATCAGGATTCGAAGAGCGTCGAAGATTGACATTCGACAGGGTAAGCTGCAATGAGTTATCAGATTGATCCATCGACATCAAAGATAATTGATCCATCGACATTGAAGATTGATCTAGGGACAGCGATTGGTCCAGCAAAGATGAAGGTGAGATCTGCTGGATTGATCAAACGTCAGCGTCAAAGAAGTAGACATGAAAATTGAAGAACCACTGCCTACCAAAGTATTCTCCATATCGGTACTTTGCTCCATGATTGGAAATGAGGGATGGATGGGATGTGAGGTTTGGTTGATGGATGGTTGGTGGTAGAAGGACAAAGTGATAGTGGGATGAGATGATCGGGGGAGAGTCGGGTGGTGTGAGTTTTATGAAAATTTCTCTACAAGCAACTGGCAGGAGATTGACAAGCAGGGGAAAGTGAGGAGTAGAGATGGTCGCGGATAATCCGCCGCGTATATCCGCTATCCACTGGCGGATACCCGCCAGTGCCAGCGGATACCCGCCAGCGGGTGCGGATACACCCTTCCACCTGAAATACTGGCGGGTATCCGGGTATCCCTTGGGATACCCGGTGCCAAGAGGCCACACCGCCGGGAGGAATCCCTCCCGGCAAGCTGGTTTTTAAACCAGCTCGTTGGGAGGGGTTCCTCCCAACGAGCTGGTCTGTGTACCAGCTTGTTGGGAGGGGTTCCTCCCAGCAAGCGTCTACAGGCCAACTCACTGGGAGCGGTTCCTCCCAGCGAGCTGATTTTTTGTGAAAACTCACCACAGGTTTCACACACCAATCACAGAAAAGAATCAACTCGACAATACTTCAACTCAACTTACCCCACTCCCCCTCCTAGCTCAGCAGAGACTTAACATTATTTTCCTTACTGTTTGCTGAGCTAGGTAAGATTCTCATTTCTCTTCATTTTCCTTTTCATTATTCCTTTTCAATTATCATAAGATTGTATTTCACTAAAAGAGAGACTTAACATTATTTTCCTTACTGTTTGCTGAGCTAGAATAAAAAATCATACCTTGGTTCTAGAAAAGTCTCCCTCAGCGCCTCATCTTCCGGTTCTATTCATAAGAAACTTAGTGAAGGGAATCACACCCTTACATTTTTAAACCAGCTCGCCAGGAGGGGTTCCTCCCGGCGAGCTGGTCTGTGTACCAGCTCGTCGGGAGGGGTTCCTCCCGGCGAGCGTCCACAGGCCAACTCGCTGGGAGCGGTTCCTCCCAGCGAGCTGGTTTTTAAACCAGCTCGCCGGGAGGGGTTCCTCCTGACAAGCTGGTCTGTGTACCAGCTCGTCGGGAGGGGTTCCTCCCAGCGAGCTGGTTTTTAGGCCAACTCTCTGGGAGCAGTTCCTCCCAGCGAGCTGGTTTTAAACCAGCTCGCCGGGAGGGGTTCCTCCCGACGAGCTGGGCTGTGTACCAGCTCGTCGGGAGGGGTTCCTCCTGGCGAGCTGGATTGTGTAGACGCTTTCCGGGAGGAACCACTCCCAGCGAGCTGGCCTGTAGACGCTTGCCGGGAGGGGTTCCTCCCGACGGTGTGGCCTCTGCCCCTTTAGGCCGAGGGGGCTGGTTTTTTTTTTTCTTTTTTTTGAAAACAAACACTCCTGGAAGAGCCTCGCCGCCCATTCAGAGGGCGGGTATCCGCGCGGATACCCGCCAACACTGGTGGGTATCTGCCGGCGGATGCGGATGTGTCTTTCCGCTGAAATCGTGAGCGGATATCCGCATCCGCGCGGATATCCTGATTCAATGCGCCCATCTCTAGTGAGGAGGCATAAAATTTTAGTCATAAAATTTTAAGCCTCGAGCAGTTAGTTTTTTGTGACAGGTGTTAAAACAGCCCTACGTGAACCGGGCTACTGTCTGTTGGTGGTAATGTTGAGAGGAAGGGGAAGTACTATAACACAAGAGACGTGAGTAAGAATGATGGTGGGGTTTGTCAAGTGGAGGAACTTGAGTTTTGATGATAAAAGAAGAGATTAAAAAGTTTAACATTAAACCTCAAACCGTGTCATTTTCCACAGGTACCGCTACTAGCGATATTGCAAGAGACATTCATTCTCCTACTGACCCTGGGTTTGGGGGAAACTCCAACCTTTTGCCCCTCTTTTTATAATATTTTCATTCTTTTGTTCCAATCCTTCCCCCTCCATGTCTCTCAATCTTCCTCTTTTCTTTCACTTCTTGTTCGACTTGTCCTTCCTCATCCGTTGACCAAAGACATTGCCTTTTTGGTCTTTTTGACACTGCCCCGGTTCTCAAGATGCCAAACTTTCACCCAGGCCATAAAGTGATGTTCACCTCTCAACACATAGACTTATTCGAAATAGGCAACAAAGATCTGAAATCTATAATAAAATATTTCTAAACTACTTCTCTTCTTGCCATTGTACCTAATCCATCTCCTGCTCTCAATTCCTTTTGCGTGATAACTATCTCTGTGGACTATTGTTACTTACTTTTTGGGGCTCCTCTACCATTCATCCGAACAGACCAGAGCAAAGATTCAGTACCAAAAATCTAGCTAGACCCAAATCTCAAAGGGGAGGGGGGAGACTCCATCTACAAGCATAAGGCCAATTATCATTCTTCCAAACGGTGCCAGTGCCAGTGCGCAAGCGTTCGACGCCTTGGATGAGTTTCTTCTTCCGATGATCGTCGAGGGATCTAGCCTTTTTATTACCAATCTGTACGACGACGACCTTAGTGGTAGCCTCAGAGATCTTGATCGGCCAACTGCCGACATACTTGCCTTTCATCTCCTTCCAGGCCTTCATGAAATCCTCCGGATCCTTGTACGACACAAACCCATAGCTTTTCAATTTCGTCGTCACTTTGTCCCAGACCACTTGCGCTTTCACAAGCAAACTCCACTTCAAAAACGCTGCTGCTAAGCCATCATCTGACACTTCTAGCGCTAAATCTCCTACAAATAACCGCAAATGGGCTATCGGTTTGATAGAAAAAATCAGTCTTCTTCTTGATTGTGCTTAAGTCTGTTGAGGAGAGAAAGAATCAACCCCCCCCCCCAAAGAGGGGCCGATCCAAAAAACCTGGTGGAAGGCTTTCCAACTTGAAAGTTTGGATGAAATACACCGTCAGCATCTTTCTCTCCTCTAAGAGTTGTCTTGTCAACCAAAGAAATAACAGGTTTATTTTGTCTTTCAACAGAAGTCGCCAACGCGATGCTCAACCAATATACTCAATCTGTTTGCGATTACATTTGCGACTGGGAGAGCAAGTTACGTTCCGACTAATTACACATTCAGCTCATCCTACTTCATTGTAAAAATATACAATCTTGGGTCAATCTGAAGTCAGCCAATGGGATTGCTCATTACACATTTTTGGACGCGGCTGATGCCTTGGGCTTATTAGTCAACAGCAGCCAATACAATCAGGTGTTGACTGAAGGAGCCCACATCAAAACTGGCTTTCAACTTGGATTAGTGTTTGTGATAATACTGTTATTTAGTCCACCAGGTGCACCCATGGCTTTATTGAGAGACATCAGAAGGAAATGGGCAAGGAATTGGTCTACATGCTGAAGAATCAGTATGGCTTAGAAGATCCTGTGCCAGAACAATTTAAAAGCTTCATTATACTTTGAACAGAAAAATTTTTACAATTGATGATTTCAAGGTTGCAAGATGTAAGCTTGCGATTAAATCCAGAACAGGAATGTTTTCTCATCTCTATCAGTGCTCAAGATTGTGGAGAGTGCCAAGCAAGGGACGTGAGCGACAATTGGGCGATAACTTTTGGTCTTTTGAACATGGCTCAACGTAAATTCTACAACGTGGTTTATGATAACTTCTCATGAGTGCATTCTGGTCATAAGCTATATTATCTAGATGGACCAGGAGGAACTGGAAAAACTTTCCTGCTGGATTGCATAATAAATGCTCTTAGGTCAAACAGTTGGACAGTGATAGTGGTGACATTGACGGGGTTGCTGCTCTTCCATTGACAGGGGGTCAGATGGACCATTCCTGCTTTAATATCCCAGTCCAATTTTCAGCTGATTTTTAATTGTGATTTCTCGCACAAAGACAAAACAGGGAAGCGCTTATGGACTGCTGATCTGTTAATATCGAGGCAGTAGCAATGCATAAGGATGCCATCAAGACTGTAGATTGAACTTTGAAGTCTCAAAGATCTAATGAAGACTAAACTAACCTTCAGGGGGAAAACTGTCACTTTTGCCAGCTACAGCCCTAAACATATGCATGAATCTTGATGAGTTAGTGTAAAGTAGTAAAGTAAAGGCAAAATGAAATATTTGTATTTGATAGAAGGCGGCGCAGCCGCCTTTAGACACTAGTACTTGTTGATTTGTAAGGTCTAGAATGATGCCATTGAGTTGGTTAAGCTTTGACTCTAGATTAGGATTGTGACATCCGGTCTGAATGGAGATAGGTTTGAGCACTGTAGTGCTCAGATTTCAACACCATCCTCCTCTTTTCAAAACACAAACAAGGCCACATTTGTGAGTGTAATTTAAGTGTGTCAAAATCTCTGGAAGATCACAGTGGATTTCATGCTGAGGTATTACGCCTAGATGGAACACTGGACAAAAAAACACAGTCTAACTGCAGTTGCCCCCGCATTCTGCTGTATACCCAATTTTAGGGGGCTCCAAATGGTCAAGGCCAAAAAAGTAGGGTTTTTTTTCCAAATTTTTGGGTTGGTTTGAGGAGGGGAGGGGGAAATTAGACATTGGATTGGATGCCTAAGTGTGTGTTTTGATGGTGTGATCATCCTATGTGTATGGGATTGTATGTCATACTTATGGCTCAGAGATGTCATCCTACCTCATGTTTATGCATGTCTTAGGTGACAGGTCCAAAACAGCTTGTCACTTTAAATTTGGAATCTACAAGGTCTGTAGATTCCAAAAACATGGTCTTTGTAATGTTTGTGCCTCCCCCCCCCCCTGCCCCAGCACCATTTTCCCACAAGTGAGGTGATCAGTGTTTGCGTACAGCTGTGTACATTGGAATGCTACATGCAACTCTCTTGATTTGTTCCTTCCCAGATCTACATATTACTAAAGAAATAAGCTCAGAGAGCCAAACCAACTGCCACACAATCATCTAACACCAGTGTTGACTTCCAATTCACATTCATTGATGCCAATGTGATAAACTTAAACAGAACAGAAGGTTTGCATTCAGGGCAACCTGGAAGAACCCCCCCCCCCATAACAAAAAAAAAAAAAAAAATTCTGGGGGCCAGTGCATAAGATCACCCAGAAAAAAAAAGAAGAAAAGGTCATCTATCAAGTAACAAAAACAACAACAATTGGGGCCCATAAAATTCACCAAGCAAAACTGCCCAAAAATCAGGACAAGTTACTACTACTACTACTAGTATGTTTACATGTAGCTTTCCTGGGATTGATTAAACTAATTAAAGATGGATCTGATTTGATCCGAATAAGGGGTGAGATAAATCAAGCCTTTCTATTGTTGGGTATGTAAGTCCTTCCACCAACTTGCAGAAAAAAGCAACAGCAACAACAAAAAGTAGATGCGTTGAGACACTGCAAATGTGATTATATCAGATTCCCACATATGGCATTACATCAGATGAAAAAAACTGATGATACATCAGGCAAAACTGGTATTATATCTATCAGGAGTCATATCGTATGTACCTAAAACCATGTTATATCTATCATAACAGATATTGAATCAGCCCAACCTATTTAATGTCAACATAACTGATTTTATATCACATTTTTACATCTCATACAAATTTTTAGCCCATGGGCATTAAATCAGATGGAAAAATCTGATATGAATTCAGTTATTCTAACATTGTGTAGGGTGGTCCAATGTAATATCTTTCATGATAGACACAATATCATTTTAGGTAGATATAATATCAATTCTGGTAGATACAATCCCAGTTTTTCCTGATGTAATATCAGATATTTTTATCTGACATAATGACAGATGTAGCAATCTGATACAATCATTTTGGTAGTGAGAACAAGGAGTCATTCTTTGCGGGCATGTTGAGGATGGTCATTGTCTGGAGATATATGTGTAGATCTTCTTGTCATTGTTGTTAGTTTTCCTTTCTTTTGGTTTGGGTTGGTTTGGTTAAAGAAAAAAGGGGAGATGAAATAAAGCAACATTCATAGGTATATAAGGTGATGGAGGATCCAGTTAATAATAATCACCAATTCCAAAACAAACAAAACCAAAACCAGAAAAAAGAAAAGCTTACTAAAGAAAAAAAAAAAAACTAATACTAAAAAAAAAAACCAGAAAGAAAAAACCCTTGTAATGAAGGGCTATATCAAACAAACAAAAAAACAAAATGGTTGAAACAAACAAAATGGATAACCGAATCAAAAAAACCAAAAAACAGTTTCCTGCAGGGGCAAGATGAAGAAAAAAAAGCCAAAGAAGAAGAAGGAAGCGAGAAAGAGAAAGAGAGGGAGAGAAAGCCAAAAAGATGAGAGACGACCCAAAAAGTGAAACAAAGGAAAGCCAACCGAAAGCGATGAAGTAATAAACGAATGACAGCAAGGACCAAAGATATTTTTTTTGGTTTACTATGATTTTTTTTTTTGTTAATCTATAATATTTGGACAGTCCTATCCAGTAAGATAAGAGCGGCCGATAAAGTAAGCGAGAACAAACGGGCTCTGGATGTGTAAAAAAACAAAGTGAAGATGAAGATGATGAAGATGATTGTGATGGGACAAAAAAAGAAAGAAAGCAGAAGTGCTTGTGTTTCGTGTCGTCTGAATCATCATCTGAATCATCATCATCATTATCAGCCAGACCCATATATATATAAAATAAAGGATGTGTAAAGGGAAAAGAGAAGAGAAAAAAAGTAGTAGTAGTAGTAATAGTTGAAGAAGAAGAAGAAGGATCAATTAGAGAGGTTTTCATAAGAACCAATCGGCAGGAACGACGCCCTCGATCCCATCAGCCCTGCGAACCAGCCTGAAAAACGATCCCCACAAACAATCAAAAAAACCAGCCTAATTTAAAAAAGAGAGTGAGTGAGAAGACTGACCACCATTCTTGGTTACTTCGGTCTCTAACCTCGACCGATTCGCCGGCCGCGACAGCAATTTCACCGGGCTAAATCACCAAACAACAAACAAACAAACCGTCAATCTCAAACAATTGAATCTCCCAAACGAAAAAAAGAGGAAGGACTGAACCAGTTGAGGGTCGAAGGACCACCGGGCTCTTCGGACATCCGATTCGGCCAACAAGCCCAGATTATCGTCGAGTTGATCGATCGGCGAGTCCAGTTGTTCTTGTTGTGGGTCCTGTAGGTCTGTAGAATTGGAAGAATGTCGATAAAGAGTAGGTTCTAATTTCTCGTGATTAGGGTCGAGATGGGGGGTGGATTGATGAAGATCTCGATCATGATCATCGTCCGAAGAACCATCGCCATGGTCCTTTCGTTCCTCGTCGTCCTTCTTGCGCATCTGCATCCGCTCGGTCATGGCTGCAGTAGCCGCATCAATCGTTGCCAACAGGGAGGTCGGTCTGCGAGCCCGGCGGTTCTCAATCACGCTGCCGCTCGAGCTTCGGCTCCGCGTGTCAGGGCCCCCGGCCACCGCACTCCGTCGCACAACCCCGCCACCGACAACTACCCCGTCGCCCTCCGACTCCTCCTCTTCCTCCAGTCCAACCCCGCCTCCCATGGCCCGGTCCACCGGGTAACCCGCCTTCCGGTTCGAGTCCCGTCGTTTCTTGTATCCAATCAGGAAGCCTATCAATACCCCTAGTAATACGATCCCTAATGCGATCGACATACTGATGAAAATCACTTGGACGACCGAATGAATACCTATAAAGAAAAATCCAAGAATCAAACTTCAGCAACTAAGAAAAATGATATCAAAGAAAGAAAGAAAGTGATGTACGTCTAAGGGTACTCTTAAAGCCTTCACTAGCAGTCACCATTCTTCCCAAGATACCGGGTTGACTATTAGAATCAGCGGCCGAAAGATAGGGAATCCACGATTGACCGTCATAAAGGACGGAAGCAAATTTGAGGGGAGGCGAATTCTGGAGGAGGATCAAACCGGAGACGAGGAGCATCCGATCAGACTTGATCCCACTGAAGATGTTGATCGATGTGCTAGGATTACGGACGGGCACGAAGGCGATGTGTTCGATTTGTGAGGCCGGATCAAGACCGGTGACAGCCACCCAATCCTTGTCTTCCCAGCGCATCAGAAACGAGTCTCCGGCGGCCCGTTGACCGGCAATGAACATCCCATCAGGGTCTTCGTGCGAAAGTTCGCCAACCGCGACCGTCCGGACGGTCCCCGGGATCCGGTCCTGCGAGCCCAGCGGGGTCCAGAGTGGGGTAGGCGAGTTGAGCACCCAGCGGGCCACTGCGACATCCTGAACGGTCTGGTTGAGCTCGAAGCGCCCGACCGCAATCACTTTGTCCTGCAACTTGCCGATCAGCTCGACCGCATTGACGATCCCCTTGAGGCCGTTTCCAAGGCTGTACCACTGGTTGTTCGGGCCCGACCAGAGACAGATCGACTGGCACGACAGACTGCCCACCTGTTGGAACCGTCCACCGACTACCACATCCCCTCCGGCCCGACTCTTGATCGTCCGCACCGACACGTTCGTCGACGGGTATGCTCCTACGCCCGCCATCATCTCCGTAGCCCATCGTCCCGACGTCAGGTTGTAAGTATCCAAACCGTTCTTGCCGCTCGGCGACACAAACAGCCCACCGATCCATGCCACATCATTCACGACCTTGATTGACAATACTGCGCCATCTAACTGCTGGTTTCCATTCAAGGGCTTCAATTGGGATGCCGATAGGTCGTAGATCCCCACGTTGGATACCGAGTTGCCACTGACAAACCTACCTCCGATGATCAGTTCCCGATCTTTGAAGAACGCCCCAGCGAGGATTGTAGGACCGGTAGTCCCTGTCAAGGCGTAGGGCAGTGAGACGTTAAGATTGCTATTGGTGGCGGCGACCTGTCGACGTTGGATGATAGACTGGCGGATGGCCCGAGTTGAGAGAGCGGTAGAGTTGGAGACAGTTGGTGAGGAGGGCGAGACGGAAAGGTTGTTTTGGGTCTTGTTGCGGAACGCGAGCCCTATAGCTTGGCTGGCGAGCTGATTCATTCCGAAATTCAATCCACTCAGGGAGGGCGCACCACCAGGACCAGTGGAGAGGAGTGCGCCAGAGGGGGCCTCAAACGAGCCAACCCCATCGAGGTTCCCAGCCAGATAGAGTGTTGGATGATCTCCAAATTGAGCCGCTGCTGCGGTCAGCTGTCCAAAGTAAACACCTACGGTCGAGGGGACCCACGTGGAACTCTGTGTGTTGAAGATCCCTAGAGCCCGGCCACCGATGTCAGTCGAACGGCCAAAGACATATAAGAACTGACCAGCCAATTTGAAGGCTTGAACGGGAAATCCGACCGTGGAACCTGGCTCGGAGAACGGCTCCCATTTGGTGCTTGATGCACCATACTTCCAGCACGCGAGCCCATCCAATCCTTTGACGAGGCCATCGGTAGTCGCGGTGAAGTTACCGCCGGCGTAGAGCACTCCATTGACAGCCAACAAGGCATTCACCGCACCGTTCAAGCCACCGTTAGGTACGGGGGTGGTCGTCGTTGCAACGGCAGAGGTACCATTCAAGACTGATAGCCGGTTGCCTCCGATGAAAAGTAGGTGATCATCACTGATGACCGAGCGGACAGCAGAGCCGGGGCGGAGACGAAGCCCAAGTTGATCGACGGCAGTCAGGGATTCTTTGACGTCGCTTCCTCCGGGTGGAGAGGCCAGGGTTGAGCCATCTCCAAAGGCACCTTTCCCAGTGAGGACGTGTTCGTAAACACCATTTGAACGAACCCCAGGGATGTACGAGCGAAGTGGGTTAGATCGAAGTACGAGTTGACTGGCGACCATCGAGACTGGGGAGGAGCCTGTGACAGTATTGGCCAGTTGAACGGTGACGGTCAGATCACCACCCCCGGAGGGGAGATCTGTCATCGTACCGTTGTAGAGCGTTGTGGAGGTATCATTAGGGCTTCGGGTATCGACGAGGGTCTTGAGGGGTTGACCATCGACGAGTGAGGTGGTGACGGCTAGGGTGGTGCGTGAGGGACAATCACCCATAGCCGCACAGCCAGGAGTTTGGAGGATGAGTTCATAGTGACCAGACTGAGGGATCGACATGGTCCAAGTAAGGCTAGGTGCTCGGTCGGGAGTCGTTCCTGGAGGGACGGAAGTGGTCAGGACAGGTTCAGTGGTCCCGGGTAGATTAGTGTTCGCCTTGACTGTATTCCAGTTCCCGGTGGTCTTGACGGTGTTTTGAGCTGCAGCACCAAGCCCGGTTCGACAGGACCGACCGGTGTTGAGTTGGTCGACCGCATAGGCCGTATTACCCTGTGAGAGTAGTTGGAGTAGGTGGAGTCCAGCCACGTTACCGAACTTTGAGGTGATGACCAGTTGGACTCCATTGACAGCAGTATTCGGAGGGAAGATGTAGTCTTGGTAGGGTAGCTTGAGATCACGAGAGAGGGCGCAGTTTGTTGTACAGCTGTCGAGTTGGTTGGTGATTGGGTTGATGAAGCTTAGGTTTAAGATTTGATCATCAGGAAGTGAGACCACGCTGGAAGAAGAAAGAGGTGAGTGAGTGAGTGAGTATAAGATAAGCTATTCTTGTTGAAGGAGAACTGAGATAAAAAAAAAAAGGACAAACTGGAAGCCAGCAGTTCCACCACCGTTGGCGAAGGAGTTGCCTAGTCTGATTCCGCCTACTGGTACTGAAGTGCCGAGGTTGAGGGTGACTGCACCGTTATCGAAGTTTTGATCTAGTTCCCAACTGTTACCAGGACCATCTGGGCCTTGAGGACAGAAGATATTCTGAGGGGCTTGGTAGGCTTGATTTGAGCTCTGTGGAGCAGCAGACCAGGTGGCTTGGTTTGAGAGTGGGACGGGTGCGAGTGATGAGCCGAGTGTTGGTAGGGGGAGAGTGTTATTATTATTATTATTATTGTGGGTGGAGGGGTCGAAGAAGTTGGGAGTTTGTTGTTGTTGTTGTTGTGGGTTGTTGGTATTGATTGAGATTGAGAATTGACCGCCGATGATGAGACTCTCGCCTGAGGGGCTGATGAGATGATCGAGAGAGTAGATTGGGCCGTTGAAGTTGGGCAGGTTGAGTGAGTTGGGTGATTGGAAGGAGTGAGACTTGGTAGAGTAGCTGATCAGGTTTGGTATTTGATCGTTTGAGATTGGGTTTTGGAATTGGCCTGCTATCCAGATCTGGTCGTCGTTGAGACATTCGATGGCATGAACTGTTCCTTGGATTGAGGATGAGTTTGAGAGTGGGGAGATGGCATGGGTCAGTGGGTCGTAGATGGCGATGTTTGAGGTTGAGCTGGTTGAGTTGAGTGCGTCGAATCGGCCGCCGATGATGAGTTGGTTTGATCTCGTTAGACAGATCGCATGAATCGATCCACCGAGATTGGTGGTTGCGATGATGGTAGGTTCAGAAGACTGTTGCTGTTGCTGTTGCTGTTGTTGTTGTTGTTGGATTGGATGAGAGAGTAGGATGGCCTGTTGGGGGTTGAGTGAGTTGGTTTGGTTTGGTTTGCTTGGGTTGTAGAATGAGAGTGTTGAGAATGAGCCGAGTAGTGAGACTGGTCCGAGTGCAGACCAGTCGATTGAAGGGTTAGCGGCAGTAGTAGTGGATAATAGGATGATGATAGCAGTCAGCAGTAGTAGCAGTTGTTGTTGTTGTTGTTGTTGTATTGTTCGTTGGTTCATATTTCTGTTTTCTGTTTTTCTGTTTTTTGGGTTTTTTTTTTGAAGTCGAAGTTGATAATAAGGAGAGACTGAAAGAAGAAGAAGTTGCAAGTTGCAAGTTGGCGTTGAAGGAGTGGATTGAAGCAGATGAAGACTGTGAAGGAGCAGTCTCAGACGAGTGCAACTACACAACACCAACTCAATTGGACCCCCCCGCTGGCCCATCACCCCCCTCACATTTATAAACACTTGCACTCTCTCAATCCGGAACCAAACTCACTCAATCCATCTCAAACTCATCCAATCATAATCAGAGCAAATTTGCTAGGCTCAACAATGGATTCCATCCCTGGGTTTTGGCCGGTATCAATCATGTCAAATCCATTGAGCTACACAAGCACTGCTCAGGAACTACATAAACCCATCCCCAGCCACTGGAATCAATTCAGTGACAGTCCCAGCAGATCAAAGTACCACATCCACTTCCAAACAAGCCAACCAACCCAGTTACCCTTTCCAACTCATCCACTTTAAGCTGTATCAACACTCAAAACCCAATCCCATCATCAGCCCAGCTTCCTTCCTTCTAAGCTCAGAATTCAGTCACCCCAACACCTTATAAGGCATCCACATAAATCAAAAAACCAGCTTGTAAACACTACACCAAACAAGTGGATCCACAACACAACAAATCTACAAATCCACCCAAACAAAAGTTCAATTTTGGCTACAACAATCTATGTGATCTGCTCCATTTGGGTTACTGGTTGGTCTATCTTTGCTCTGAAGCCAATAAGGGTTTACATTGTTTTCAATGTTCATGGTCCAGCTGATTCAACTACATACAAGGACCCTTAATTGGATGCTTCATAAAGAGGGATTCCTACAGTGATTGATCAGATTATACAGCTTTTCTCTAGGTTGAGCAGATGGTACATGCATACCACCAGATCAAGTGGATTTCCTCTGGTTCAGATACATAGTTTGTAAAACTTCATCACCCCTAGCTTGATCAATTGGTTAAATCACTCTATATTCTAAGATACAGTGCTCCTTTGGAAACTGTGATGAAGCCTCATGACTACCCTCAAAGCAAAAACAAGTTTAATAAATCCCCAGTTGTGCTACATGTAATAGCAGGAATGATCCCGGGGAGAGTTAATATCATTGGTTTTTGGATATTGATTGAACAACTATGGACCAGAACTAGCCAGAGTCTTCCGCATGTGTATATGAGGTTGTCATCATGAACTGGTTCGAATTCCTTCTCTTTGGAGATCTCAGTTAATATTCTGAAAGCCATGATCATTTATTACAGATGCAGCTCATTGATGCTACAACACAGCTTAGTATCTATGCTGATCTTGACCCACAACTACTGGATTCAGCCCAATATCCCTTTTTAAAACATACAGTGATGTTTTGGTATTTCTGGTGTGTTATCTTGGATGTTCAAAAAACGTTTCAGTTCTTTTGGTTGCTTCTTTCATCCTTTTACATCTTTGCACACTTGGGATTTTTTTTGAGTGCCACAAATAAGACTTTTCAGTGGGAAAACGATCTGAGGATTGAATTTGCAGAATTGGTTTTTTTTTTTTTCAAAGTAAGAAAGAGAAGAAAAGCTGAGAAACACACACACAACAGATGGAAATTACACGGCTAGTATCATCAGTCAGAGACTTGGCTTATTTTTACATATACTTGTCTATTTACATATATTTATCAGGCCGGTCATTATTGACAACTTGACAGTACCTTTCTTGTATCGTAGCTTGAGAGGAGAATATTGAAGAACCCAAGAAACCAAAATGCAAACTGACGAGTAGATAGGAAATTGAGAGATACAACAAGGATTGGACCGTTTCAGAAGCAAAATAGATGATTTGTGTTAGATTGTTTATGAACCAGTGGCATCAGATCGAGATCATGTCATAGAAAAGGTGCTAGAAATACGGGTGAAGTTTCATGTCCTTGGAATAACTGCGAGAAATGAGGTTGCGGATGTACAGCATGAGGCGCGGGTATCCAACGAACTGAAAGGGAAGGTCGGCTTGCTTGGTTGTACATCAACATATTTGAATGAACGTCCGAAGCCCAAGAGTAATAAGAGGTGGAGGGGGGGCAAGCGACTCCTTGGGGGAGGGCGTCTAGACCCGGCGCGATGCCCGCAGTTCTGAAGCAATTCCCAGAGTGCACAGATGTGTAGGGATTGAAATCAGGTCTCTTAATCACGGAAGTGGCTTGATTCGGCGGGCTGGAGACGACCTGCTGCAAGGCAGGCGGGGAGAGAACGTTTGCCGCGTTTGGCTTCAAGGAAGACACGACAATCTGCTGGGAATTGTAACGATTCCGACGGTTGAGATAAGTCTTCAAGTACTCCAGGAAGGGTCGTTGGGTTACGCTTGTCGCCAAGCTGGTTTCAGTGGCATTGCAGACGAATTGCGTATTGCGCTGTCGGCTGCCGTGAACGACCGATAGAGTTGGAGTCGCCGTCTTCTTTGGCGAGATGTTCTGACTGTTTTATGTGACAGCAAACCTCAGATTAACTCGTCTGTAGACGGGTGGAAGCAGGAGAACTATTTAGACGGAAGCTACGCACTAGACAACAATCTGATGTCGATCACAACACGCGAGTTGTTTGTTACCCACGGTTTGTTCTGCCCTCAAACGGTCTGTGAGCACAAGCAAAAGGCTCCAGGTTAGCTTGTCTTGAAGTACAATGAGCCTTTTTCTCGCTCTGTACGTACCAATCACCTTATGCTGGTGTCGCCTGACTGTCCTGTTTTTCTTTGGAACTTGAAAGTTTGCAGGTCTTGATGTCCAAATCGAAACAGCAAACATATATGAGCAAACCGGTCTGAGCTATGGGGCCGCCGTAGATACCTGGGGAGAGCTGCACTTACTCAGTCGGTGGGCTGGAATTTGCCAAACGAAACTTCAATGCACTTCCATCGATCAGCCATATCTTCTTATCGAGCATTGCCAGCAACGCGTGGGCATCGCTGGCGCGGGTGATGCTACCAAGAAGCCAATGTTACTATTGGGCGAACGCTTAACCACAATGAGAAAATTGGGAGATTTACTTTACGAAGCCAGTACCCCCATACACCGATTCTTCACCTGGAGCCCGCTTTTCGGGTAGGACATGAACCTAGATTAATCATGAACTCAGTAATCGCAACCATCAGAAAAAAAAAGCAAAAGAAGATCCTGACAGTGGTCACTGGGATTCCTTCGAAAAGGTCCCAAAGGTCGCTTTTACTCCAATGTGATGGAAAGTTAGCGACAAATACATTTGTCGGAGGAGGTATGGCGTCGGCATCCATGCTCGGAATTCTTGAGATTGGCTCTGTAGATCGATAGTTGACACTGGGTGTCATCCAATCGGTTTGGCGCTCGTCATTCTCGCCCAGTCGCCTTTGACGATGCTCTAACATGCTAGAGAAGCGCTTCGCGTGCTCACTCCCACCTCCTCTCGGACGGAATGGAAGATAGAATAAAGGATCCGAAAACGGATCGAATGACTTGAGAGGACTCGCCCCTTCAACTGCCCCATTGTCGGATGACACTCGCGAGTGTTCCGGGCTTGAGATACAGAATGGGTCTGTCTCTGGTGAGCTTCCCTCAAGCGAGGACCCGGCTGCCGAGCCAATAGAGTTACATTCGTTGGCGATATTGGCATGCTCGAATGAGAACAAAGGAGGCTGCATGGAACCCTCATGTCAGCATACGCAAACACGTAACCCTTGTAATCTCAAGCACCAGCTAAACATACCGAAGAGATGGATTCGGGGGAGCATTGGGGGAAGTGGAATTCGGATGAATACCGCAAGCAATCCACTGGATCGAGCCCCTCACTTGAGAATTTGGAGGACGATGAACCTCCCTGAGTAGGATTGGAGGCACTGGGAGCCGAGAAATCGATTGGCGATGAAGTGCGATATTCCGCCGTCAGACTGGGTTCATTGGTATGGGAGATTTGCATCTTCTCCAGACCCTTGAATAGCGTGCATTCAATTGAAGGCTTGGAGGAATTCTTGATCTCGTCGGCGTACTGAACGAGATGACGGAATACCTGGTCCAGCATTTTCGTGAATGAAACTACTTGAAACAGCACCCCGCGTTGAGCTCAAAGAAGCTAGGAGCAGAAAAAAAAAAGAGGAATTAACGTCGATGATCGCTGAGGGCGCCAGAAGGATATGGCGATTCCATGCAAATTATAGTTGAAATCGCCAATACTTCTCGGTTCACTGTCCGGAGTTATGTATAACTGGGAGGGGAAATTGGAGGAAATGCGCTTGAAAAGGGGAGGGGGGGGGAGGGGGAGGGGAAGTAAGGGTAGTCGTCGGTCTCAGGAAATTTTCCTGGAGTGGGCCAGATAGGATGTGCAACCTAAGGGCGGGATGGTTGGGAAAAAGAAGATGAAGCTAAGGGTGGGATGGTTGGGAAAGAGATGGTGAACAAATTTTTGGAAAGCAAACGGGGAAGCTTTTACACTACCACTCAACGCCTTATCTGCTCAAAGCCAAGGCACCAGCGTCTGCGTAGTGTCACGATCAATTATTCTCCGTATTTGGCCGATATAGACTTTAGCACTAGCAGAATTATAAAGCCGGCTGATGCCAATGGATCATCGGCCCTTGAAATATGGCGGGGGATATTGTACGTAAAGAAGCTTGTGTGGTAGCAGAGAATGAGGGTAAACGCTTCTAATCGTGGTTCACTGGTGATGACGGCACTCCCTCTAAAACGCCTGGGGGAGAAGGGGGAGAGATAAATAGCGCAGAGGGCAAGAGAAATAGAGAATATTGGCAACTGGCTGAGCTGCGCTACATGATTACTCGCCATACCTGGTTTGTCTTTAGAAGAAAAAGAAAAAAGAAAACCATTCAAGCCAAAGCGACACTCAACCGGGTTCACCACACTTTCTTTGAGACATGTGGGCATAGTCTCTTGTATGCTAGGTTGCGCCCTTTACATCTTCCTCAGTGTCGGAACAGACATCGCAATCGTTGTGGAGTTTATTTCCCCTGAGTCAACGGAATAGTGCCAGAGCTATGCCACTTGATCATCTTTTTTACTGTGTTTTCTTTCCTTTCACCGTCCAACCCTCCAACTATGTTGTGTAGCCAAATAATAGAAAGGAGGCCTCAACAATGGCGCGACTTGAGTCGCCTGCTGCTATGTACGGGTTTTGGCTGAGCACATTCCCGATGTAGTGATGTTCTACAATGAAGCGGAACATTTGACAAAACGGTAATGATCCACCAGGGAACCAGTCGAACCAGAGAGTAACAGCTAACCAGAGTAAGACATAATCTAGGGTATGACTTTCTACTAGTAGGATATGCACTACAACTGAGTGTGCTTAGCTGCAAATTCACCAGGGGGGGCAACCTTATGTAGCTCACTTGGTACACTCGAACATAAGGGGTCAGGGAGGGTGTGGAAAGTTGAAAATATTACGATGGATCGCTTAATCTAAAAAGGTGAAGGACTTGGCGAAGTATTGACCATAGGACCTGAGAAGCGAGTACTTGAGGATGTAAATAAATAATGGTATGTTAGAAGAAGACATATTACTTGAGATGAAAGTCAAGACCACGTCGCAGAAGTTAAGATGATGTAGGTAATCCATCAATTTTTTGAAGGGAGCTTTGAATGCGGCGAGAGTTTAAGGCTGAGAGGCTATTGCGATCATAATTCGGCATACGGCCATGTAATCTGCGTTGCGAGCTTACCTGGTTATCGGTTATTCCGAGTTGAGCTTGGCACCCATTAGTATTACTATGGTCGGGGTATGCGTATGTGTAAATACGCACCGGGTCCAGAGGGCGTGGTCACGAGTGTTGGTTGATGGTGAGATCAGGAGCTCAGCGAAGTTGAAGAAAAAAGAGTGTCAAGTCGAGGAGCAAGTTGGCCAACACGCATACATGGACCCACTGAGCCGACATGGGCTGATCGGCTCCTTTCGACCCCTTCATTTCCAACGGTCTTCAGTGAATAAGTATGGGTGACCAACTCCTTGTCAATAACTCCGTCAAGGAAAAACGGATGCGCCAAGAACTTTCGCAATCGGAACAGCTAACTGGCTCCTGTGCGATGGATCGATTGGACCATTGATTTGAACTAGCGTTGAAGGGTTGGTGGTAACGGGGTTTGCCCACAAGCTTATCTGACTCACATTTTCGAACGAGGTATCGCCGAAGGCACTGATCGCGTCCCGAAGACGGGCCCTCTCCGTGATTGAACGCTCCGGGGATCATCAGGCACTGGAGTCGGCTCCGGATAGGAAGAGGCCCACCGCTTGCATTGATGTATCGCCCCGTACATACATATCCGTTAGCAAGATCATTGTACAATCGAAAAAGCTTGGAGCAACTGTTGGTGTCAGTCTGAGATCAGAGACGGGTTTTCCAACGTAGTCGGTCCGGCCCATCGCGTGGCGAGAACGGCCCAGACATTCCTTACATAAAGTTTATCATCGCTAAGAGTATCAAGACTCAAGTTATGTCACAGCGTGGGTTGAATCGGGAGTCTGTCATGACCTCCTTTCACCATGAGTTGACAAAAACCAGTAACAACAGTCGGTGGAATCTCCTGAAGGTAACAATCCAACGTTCAAAGTACCTGGATTGTTTGTCGTTTGAGCTCATGAGCAGTGAGCACACACACAAGAACCTGCGACTTGAGAGCTGGTGGAGTAGTGATCTTGACTGATGAGAACTGATAAATACCACTGGATAGCAAACTCTTCTTGCCCCCATTTCCCCCCCACTACCTCACACTTGAATCAACATGCATTTTTTCGAATATCTAACCCATCCAAAGCTGCTTGGACATGCGGGTCTCATGATTCCGTTAACTATTCAAGCAGCCCTACTACATCCTTACTATCAACAAAATGTGACATCTTCTGTGGTCAGGAGGTCGCTTATTCCAATAGCGGTGATCATGGCTTTCGTGACCGCACCCATGCGCAAATGGCTGCCACTGGAAGATTCAATGATGGTCAACTTTTGCTTTGTCTCTCTGGTGACCTTCCATGCAACTTGTCTGGCATTCGAGTATGGGTTACATGAGGGACCAGTTTTGGGACCCAAATGCGAGCTTGAGGAGGTCGAACTAAGCGGCGAAGAAAATCACACTAGCATTTCACCCGAAGACTTGATCAAGTCACAATCCATCGGAACCACAGAAGCAAGAAAACGTACTAATAATCACGCAAGTACCGATGGCGAAACAAAATCGACAACTATGACGGGCGATAGTAGTGAATCAAACGTCAAAAACTCGCCGACCAAGAAAAAGGAACAACTCGTGAAGCCATCAACTGGCGAACTTGTGCGATTCGTGCTATGGCTTCTATTCAGGTACGTCCTGGGATTTTCATTACTATACGATTGATTTGTGGACAACTCCTGACTCTTGAAATCTTCTCCCAAAGTCCTCGTGGGCTCGAATGCCAATGGGCTCCTCATCCATCCATCGTCACCTTTCGAAAACCAATATCAACTTCTACGTTTATTCTTCGAGAAACTCTTGGTCGAGTTTTTGTCCTTCATGCCTACGGAACTGTGTGTTGGGCCCTCGCCACCTGCGCCTTCCACCATCCCCAAGGGTTTTATGGAATCATCAAGGATGTGACTGGTTTATCGGAGTCTTCCGTCATTAAATTTTTTGCCGGTTATGGTACTTCATTCTGTATCGGCGCATGTATGTGGACCGGATTAGAGATTGCGGCTGCCGGCATGAATCTCTTCGAGTTCCTTCTCTACTCGATAGGAAGACGATTCTTGCCAGTCAGCTGGGCCCCAGAAAAACCTTTCAATCCTCGAAGATATCCACCCTTATTCTCCAAACCTTGGGAGAGCAAGAGCATGAGTGAATTTTGGGGAAGAGGCTGGCACGCATTGTTCCGTCGAGATCTAACGTTTTGTGGAGCACTGCCGGCATTCAAATTGGCAGCTATGCTAGGGTTTGGCAAACAAGTTCAAAAGCTGTCTGGATTGATGGGTGCCATGTTTTTGAGTGGTCTGATGCATGAATACGGTGAGTCCAGCTTGGATTCCAAAAAGAAGATGTTGCTTTGTCAACTTCCCACTGAATTTTCCTGTGAATTCTTTCATAGCAATCGCCAGTATTAGCTGGGAAAAAACAGGTCCCCAAATAATCTTTTTCTTCATGGAATGTGCGATAGTCATGGCAGTGGAGAATTTGATTGAGAAACACACGAAGATTAGGTTCAAAGGGATTTGGGGAACCATTTGGACTTTTGGCTTTCTCATGTATTTTGGAAAACCAGGCCTAGATCTTTGGTAAGAAAAGACATCAAACCCTAAATCAAGTTCACGCTTTCAAGAAAAACTGAGGCATTGAAAAATGTTACAGGATGGAACGCGGCTTGGGGAAAACGCTTCCTCCGGTTTCGCAGTGGCGCTGGAGTCAAATTCTTTTCCCTGCTGGATTTACACACCCTAGTAGGTGGTTCAGTGGCCTACCATTCTAGGTTCACCTATTCGTGAATATAAGGAAAACAAACATGTTTCCGTATTCAAGAAATCCAAATTTCATAATCTTCTGGGTTCCAAAGATGCTTTTGGTGGTACTTCAGAGGCCCTTCAATATCAAGCCGGTCCTGTTGAAGGTCAATACCAAAGATAGATTTCACTTTTCTCTTTCCAATATATGCATCCACTGACAAGCCTATATGTATATGGCTTTTGAAATATACAGTTTCTTCATGCAAATGGTTAACTTTGTTCATGCACCAAAGTTGAGAAGAGAGATTGAAATTTGAAATTTGAAAGCTCAATATAGAAAATCAATACATTCTCATCAAATACAGGTCTTTCCCAAATATTTTGATGTTAGAAGTTGAGCCACATGGAATCATATAGATGTTAGATCAAATTTATTTGATTCAATTTTTCAGGAAAATATTGGATGAATTCCTGAATACCTGTCAAGATCTGGGTGAAATGTAGGATTGATTGAGACCATCAGAATTCAGATTTCCCGGCAAAAGTCTACAAATTTTGGGTCTAAATTTACTTTTGAAGGGGATGCGGAATTGGTGGAAAGTCATCCACTTAATGCATGTAAACTTTTGTACATCCATGAATCTGTTTTACATCTCAAGTACTTGGAGTATCCTCAGTATTTAATAGTGGGATTGAAAATTGATTCATAAATGTTCAGAGATAACTTCAAAAATTATTTTCTGGGATCTGTTTGGAAGTCCATTATATCATAAGGCCCCGTTTGGCAGCATCATAAATTTAGGTGTGATATTGCCTGATTAATTCAATAAAAAATAACCCAATGCAAAATATGTTTCAAAATTGCTACTCAGGCAAATTCAATTACTGGTTTCATCAATGCTGAGAACAAACTTGATATCTTAGGCCATCTTGAGCCCCATAATATTGATATTACCCTTTATATGGGTAAAAAGTGTAATATTGGTATTATGGTGCTGAACATAGCCCATTATCTCAGCTTTGCCTGTACTAAAATTGAAATCAGCAGTCGACCTTGCCCCAGTTAAAATTTTATTACATATTTCTGAGTGGTTTATCTTACATTGCATTTATAAGGCAATATTACACTTGAATTTATGACGCTGCCAAACGGGGCCTAAAAATAAGTAAATATTGATAATCAGAATAGGGTTGATACACATTGAAACAATTATCACAAAGCTAGACAATCATCTGCTTATTACAGTGGATTTTTGGTGTTATAGTGGGACCAGCCAAATAAAATTTTTGGTTATGGGCATAAATACTTTCCCCTGAAACAATCTGCAGGATGTTCCAATGATATTTTATGATATAATGGACTTCCAAAGGGGCCTTGGAGCTAGCAGAGATTATGTAAGTGATTCCGTGCCAAAACACTTCTGTTTTTTGTACATTTTAGAGGAATTTTGAAGACCACTGATTGATCTCTTGAGACCGTTTATTCTATTCTGAAAGTATGGTATCCAGAAGTTTCCTGAGATTTTATTTTAGTAGTAATGGATCTATTTGAAGTTTTACACATCCCTGTATTCTTAAGACTCTTAAGAATATAATAAGAGACACTTCCTCTCAGTCAAAGTCCTGCTTCCAGTTGAAATGCAGTCTAATCCAACATCAATTTCCACAAAACAACTCACAACATAATCAGTAGGAATGTATCCATTGTACAGAACAAATAGTAGGAGAAATGTGTGTACACTGATCAAAATAGGTGCAATTCATGGGCCATAATGGACTCATATTTGACTCTGCATTCCTCACTTGGCACTTGAAAAATCTGTCTTAAACTTGATCTGATGTGTTGCATGTCAACATGTTGCATATCAGCAAGCATTGGAAAGTGTTCATTCAATATATATAACTATTTAGATGAGTTATTCTGTTGTTTTTGTTGAATCATAATTAGGGTGAATCACAAAGCTATAAGTTTCATCTGACATTGAGACTGATGGTATCCATTGGTTGTTGTGCTACATTTACGTGCATTGTATTCCAACCTCGCCAATTCATGTCCAAGGACAGCTCATTTTCAGATGGCGCTGCTTCAATTCCTAAGCAGGTTGCAGAAGTGGTTCTCCTTTGTATTAATGGAGACCATTTAGTCATGGTGGAGTGGAGTGGAGTGGAGTGGTGTTCTGGCATGGATGATGGATGGGTGGTGTGATGGGATTACGTAATCAGTCCCATCCTCAGTGATCGTGCTTGTTGGTCCTCCTGTTGACCAACTTCAATACTTATTTACCATCTTCCTCAACCTCCTCGTCTTTGTCTTCTTCTTTCCTGTTCTCCTGGGTTCTCCTTCAAGGTTTACCTGCTCATGGCTCGGTTGCTCACCCTCCCTGGAAAACTACGCTCCAGACGCTCGATCAAGCGAATCTTCATCGTCTCCTCCTGGCTGTTTGTCCTGCATGAACTGTACAGCTTCCTCACTCACCATCGCTCAACTCTCCCCTTCATCAATCCCTCTCAGCAATCTCTCGAATCAGATTACATCCTACCACCTCATCCGATCCAAACTCGACTCGAATCGGCTCGTCAACGATGGAAGGATAAACTGAATTCTCAATCTGTCGATTACGCCCAATTCAAAGCAAAATATCGTAAAAAATATAACTTGGAACCCCCTGAAGGAATGCGAGAGTGGTTCAAGATCGTATCCGCAGATGGTGTACTTTTGGTAGATGAATTTGATAGTCTGATGGCTAGCCTGAAACCTTTCAGAATCATGAGTCCCGAGGAACTTCATCGACGAACTTTGGAGGTTGCAGCCATGCCTACGTTCTCCTTGCTGAATGTAAGCAACGCTGGGACACTCCCAATTTCATTATTCTCTCACTCTCCCTGACTTCGCTGATTTCTTTTTTTTTTTTTTTTTGCGTATCACCTCACAGATAACCGATGCACATGCTCATTTTTACGGCCAAAACTATCGAGATGACTTTGCTCACTATAGCCGTGAAAACTATGGGCCTGGTATCGAGCGAGTCGAGGGGTTGGCCTCCATGATGCAACGTCACATTCACCGTCAGTATTCCAGCTTGTTTTGCTGTCATTCCATCCCCAAATGCACTCATTTTACTCATTTTGTTTTTTTTATCTTCCTCAATTAGGCGTTCCCAATGGACTTATATTTGCTGTCTCCGAATTGGCAGAGCCCCGAGTGATTGTCCCATGGCAAGACCACCCAACAACGATCGAATCCTTTGAACTAGAGACTCTGTCGATGCACAAGAAAGATTATAGTCAACAGCTCAAGCCAATCGAAATGAAGAAACTATTGCCCAGCCCTGCGTTTGGCGACTCTGGCAACACCTGGGAGCTTTATGCAAAGTCTTGTCCTCCTGAGAGTTCAGCTCGCAAGAAGCTTCTAAGTCTCACTCCCGACAACGCCCCAGCTCAACACAGGGATCACTTCGTAGACCATCACAATGACCCAATTCATGTCAAACGGGGCAAGTTGAAAACAGGTCTCAAGAAACGACGCTCCCCCGGCAACCTCACACGCTCATCTCTCGAAATCCCTGACAGCGGTGCCAATGATGGCCCTCCCAAAGGTTTCCCAACGGCAACTCTACTTCAGGAATCGGATGAATTCAAGTTTGTTGAAGTCGGCAAGGCTGGTCTGTCCCATGAAGAACTTTGCTCAAACTCTGAGCTACACGAAAACCAAGGTGCATTCTACAGTGTAAGTTCAATTTTTCACCCTGGGGTAGTTATCCTATCCGTCATTTGCTTATGCAAGATGGAAAATAAAGCTTGCTAAGAAAGTCTCAAAATTTCGGTAAAAAAACATTGTTTATCTAATTCAAGGATTGGAGAAGTTTACCTGCCCTCTACCCGGTATTCAGTCCTTCAAAGATTGACGGATTCTCAGGTAAATCTTCCTGTTCATTGATTGAGACATTTCTGATTGATGTCACTAATTCCTTTTTTCTCTCTCGCTTTCCAGACATCTTAAGTCAGTATTTTGCTTGATTAATTTGATAGGCAATTCAATCACGACGATGGACTCAATAGCTTTCGCATCCAACAGTTCCTTCAAATTTCTACTATGGTGATGATGCAAGATATACGTTCCAGCGAAACGAAACGATTCCTTGGGAACAGAAAAAGAGCAATTTATTTTGGCGTGGTGAAACGGTGAGAAATTTTTTTCAGCCGCTTTCCCTGAAATGGAACAGTTTCTAATTGGTGCTATCCATCAATTCAAATTGCTCTGGTATTCTTGTTCAGACTGGTGGCGGTAATTCTCCGCCGTTAGTAACTCCAGCTTTGTGGCATGGCTTTCAATGACAACAGTGAGCTGAAAAAATGCTGTCATTTTTCCATGAAACAGTGGACATCAGTTACAGTACCAGCGACATCGATTTGTAAGGCTGGCAGGAAGGGTTTCAGACGTTTTAAAAAGTTTGCTAGTTGCTGATCCTCGAAGCGGTATGATTCGACACATCAAACGTACGATCACCGAGTTGAATCAAGCATGGCTCGACATTGGATTCACGGGTTACACTGGGTGTGGTGGTCAGTCTAGTTTGGAAAATCATCCTATTGTTTGCATTGAATTGATTGGTTTTTTGGGATTTACTGCTCAACAGATCCAAAAATTTGCATTCTCACCGAACAGCTCTGTCCACTCAAGAAAACGGTTCCGTTGAAAGAGATGGCTAAATACAAAGCTATTTTGGATCTAGACGGGATGGCTTTCTCCGGTCGATTTGTGGCCCTGATGAATATGGGCAGTGGAGTGTTCAAATCTTCAATTTATAAAGACGCGTTGACCGAGTGGATAGAGCCATGGGTTCAGTAAGCACAATATTTTTTTTTTCTTTGTTTCGACGACTGTTTTCTTATTGGACATGAATTTAATGATATTCTCGGAAAACACGTGCTTTAGTTACATCCCCATAGGCGGAGAATATTCAGAACTGTATAACCTATTGGCGTACTTCTTACCACTAGACGACAAGGAAGAACAAACGAAATCAAAGAAGAATTGGGTTAGGAGACTATGGGATACGACTCTACATAAAAAAGCCGAGGGAGATGAACAGCTAAGACAGATTGCTGAAGATGGTTTGAAGTGGAGTGAGAATGTTGGGAATAAGCAGGATATCGAAGCCTATGTTTACAGGCTATCCTTAGGTAGATATTGACCATCTGTTTCACACGAGCTGAATCATATAAGTCACTGATGAGGGGTTTCTTTTTTTACTGACATTGGCTTTGCTGTTCTTTTGTCTTTTTTGAAGAGTGGGGTAGGATGATGGGTAAGATTGGGGATGAAGAAGTCGATCCAGATGAGGAAGTAGAGAATGATCCCAGTACGATCTTTGATTCACTCGGCCCCTCTCAGCGTTACTTAGCTCCTGACAGTAAAGATAATTGAGATCTTTTGAGAACCAAATTCATATGACCTTTCTCTTTCATCCTCTTCAATAAGCAAACGAAATATCTCTTTCCTTGACTCATCTTTATCTATTTCTTCACTCTTTCTCTTATCCTTCTGTTTATTTATTTTGGTTTGACCTTTTGTTTTCTTTTTCCAAAAAAAGAATCAGCATAGAAGAAACTATTTATGTATTGTCCGTTGGGGTTTTTTATACTTTTTTTTTGAGAAACTATTTATGCATAGAAAACAAATTGTAATACTGTACTTTATGATCATCATTCTAGTGGTTGGGGATGTCATTCTATTGACGAAATATTCACACTTGGGTCATAGTGGTGTTCATAATCCTCTTGCCTTCAAAATTCAACATCCAGATTGCCCCTGATCGACTGGCTAGGGCCAGTACAGGTCTGTGAACCCCTTCTGGACAGTCCCACCTCCTTCAAATCTCCTATTTCTGATTTGTGGTACTACCTGGCATCTCAACGGAATTCCTAATACTAACCAGCAAGCTACACTTCCTCCACGATGTCCAAGTCTTACGCCCCTCCCCAGGACCCAGCCAGCCAGTCGAACTACCGCTCGATTTCGATCCTTCATGCGTATGTCATCTACAATTGGCACTGAATTTATGACCTTTCAGACAGAAAGAGCTGAGCTGAGTATGTATCTATATATTGATCAGACACCTAGACTGGAATATTCATTGGGATCGCAAGACTATCTCCGGCTCAGTCTCACATACTCTCCAAGCGCATGAGGATGGAGTGTCGGAAGTCATCTTGGATACTTCGTTCCTTTCGATCAAGCAAGTTAGCATCTTTGATCCAAAAGCTACTCACTCTGACCCATTAAAGGTTAGTTCTTCTTCCTACACGTTTTCAAATCCAGACGACCTGTTCTATAGAGGAGATTGCAGTTGAAAACTGACCTTGCAAAAATTGAAAATGTTCCATTAATGATGCAGATTCATCTAGGTGAACGTCATCCAGTGCTTGGTTCAGCTCTGACGATCACCCTTCCTCGAACATTAGCAAATGGACAACAAGTGACGCTGAAGATTGAATACTCAACCACCGCTGATTGCACCGCCCTGGGATGGCTAGAGCCCTCGTAAGAGTCCCCAATCCACCCCATACCAAGCTAGCAAGGAACTCATTCATTCAGAGAAATTCATACCTTCTAGACAGACTGCTTCCGGCAATCATCCGTTCTTGTACTCCCAATGTCAAGCTATCCATGCTCGTTCCCTGCTCCCAGTCCAAGATACTCCTAGTGTCAAGTTGACTTATACAGCCGTAGTAAGTTTTCCCCCAATTATATATGAACTTGATTCCTGTCACGCTTGCACAATATCTCAAGCCTCACAAGCAAAGATACCAAGCATTTTCTTTTTCAACACACTCATTATTGGTTTTTGTTTTGTCTTTTTGTTTGGCCGTCATGTTCCGCAGGCTCATTCGTATTTACCAGTCTTATTTTCGGGTAGAAAGGCTACTCCAAGCTCAAATGTTGATTCGAGTATCAAGAAAGATGAGCTCAAGGAATGGAAATTCGAGCAACCTGTCAAGATCCCCAGTTATCTGATCGCGATCGCTGCCGGTGAACTCGTCTATCGTGAAATGGGACACGTGAGTCTCTCTTTCGTGTATCCATTTTCCCATAACGTGTTTGTTACTCAAGTGCATGCATATCTTGTTGTCAAATGTAAATATAGAGGACTGGTGTATGGGCTGACCCGGCTACGATTGACATGGCATACGAGGAATTTGCGTCATCTACTGAACGATTCGTAGCCACTGCGGAGAAGATCGTTGGAGTAGATTATGACTGGGGCTCGTATGATGTCTTGGTTCTGCCGCCTTCGTTTCCCTATGGAGGGATGGAAAACGTAGGTCCACAATGTTGTCATCTTTCCCAGTCACATTCGAATTGTTAACTGTTTTTTTGTTTCTTGTTCTATACACACGCGCACCCACTATACACACGCGCACCCATTTCGGTCGGTCATAGAGTAATTTAACGTTCCTCACTCCGAGTCTTTTGACGGGCGATAAGAGCTTGGTCGATGTCGTTGCACATGAAATCTCGCATTCCGTGTGTTGATTCATTCTTTCCAATTTGACTAACATCCTTGATGACTGGATCTGACTTTGTGTTCATTGTCGATCTTAGTGGTTCGGAAACAACGTAAAACCCTCTCCTAATATCGCTCACTCCACCAAAGAAGAAAGCACTCAATTCCACCCCTGCACCAACTTTTACATTTTGTTTTCTGTTTTTCATTCTTCAAAATAAACCCAAATTTAGGTCGGATGTGCGAATTGGGGTTCGTTCTGGCTCAATGAAGGATGGACCACGTACCTTGAGCGTTTGATCTTACGCGAGATTCACAGTGATGCTGAGCGGTATTTCAGTTACATCATCGGCCGAAAGGCTTTGGGAGATGCCCTACAGGAGTTCAAAGTGAGTAATAATCCATATCTAAACCTGAATTCACTTGTTGGATTTTAATTATTTATTCTTTTTCAATGGGTGCTTTCTAGGACAAACCTAAATTCCAACAATTAGAAATCCAATATGAATTTGGCGAGGATCCTGACCTGGCATTCAGCTCGGTTCCATACGACAGTGGAGTGCCCCTTTCTGACTGTTTTATGTCTGCACTCGCATCTTAAAGATTCCAGGAACTAACCAATTCTCGGACGTTAGAGGGTGCAAACTTTCTGTTATATCTTGAGGGTGTCGTAGGTGGTTTAGGCATCTTTTTGCCATACGCGAGCGATTATGTCAAGACGTTCAAGGGGAAGTCTCTGGACACGGTCATGTGGAAGGAACACCTGTTCAATTATTTCGATAACCAGCCCGAAGTGATAAGCAAGTTGGAAACAGTGGATTGGGAAGTGCGTGGTTATAGTGATATATATATTTGGCTCTTTTCCTTAACTCATGTGGACTCCTTGATAATCTTGTAGGCTTGGCTACATGGACATGGCCTTGAACTGCCGGTCCAACCCAAATATGATACCTCTCTTGCTGATGACGTGAGTGTGGTAATCATGTTTAGTGAATTTGTCTCGTCCGCAAAGCAAATTATTGACGGAAATTGTGAACTGTCCTTTCCCCTCTCTTTGAACTTTAAAGGCTTATGCGCTTGCAAAGAAATGGAATCAGGCACGAAACGATGCCTCGATCAAATTTGATCCAGAGGATATCAAAGAATTTTCGTCAAACCAAATCGGTATGTCAGGCTTCATCGTAATGGTAGATACCACTTAAAACCTTGTTGTTGTCGAAGCCACTAATCGCAGCGGTGTTTTGCTTTTGGGATCTATGATATTTCACATGCAACTGGTCCAATGAATGCGGCGATACAAAAGTGGTCTTCCTCGAAAAGTTAGATGAAGAAGTGGATTGTTTCGAGAAGACGATGGTCGAAACGATGAACAAGAACTACAGATTCAACAAGACGAACAATCAAGAGATCCGTTTGCGCTGGTATTCGGTCAGCTTGAAGTCCGGTTGCTACTGCCAAGATGCAGCCACTTGGGTCTCGAACAAAGGCAGGATGAAGTTTGCTAGGTCAGTCTCATTGTCCTGATGACGCTTCTGCCTGTATCACAGACAAAACAAAGTCAATCATTAATGATCAACATCCGTTGTGCTGTGACTCTTTAGACCAGTATACAGGGCGCTATTTAAGGTCGAGCCGGAGTTGGCTAGGAAGACCTTTAAGGACAATTCGGACTTTTATCATCCCATCTGTCGAGCTTTGTTGAGTGATTTTATCCTTTTCCTTCCGTCTTACCGTCGAGTCAGGCTCTTGGAAACTGATACAAGAAACACGACGTGCCTGCTTTTATGCTTTGATGTGCGACGATATTCCCCCGTCCATATCAGATTATCCAAGGATCTAGGCTTGTCTTGACTGACACATGCATACTTGAGATCTAGTTTCCGTCCTTTTGGTCCATAATAAGTATCAGTTCATCACAAGATCCTTTTTTTTTTTTTTCGGTCGTGACTCAAAAGTCTAAAATCACATATGGCAGGAGTAGTACAAAAAATGTTGTAATTATTATGCCCAGATTATTATGATGTAACATTTAGTTTTGAAGTAGAAGCAGGAGTTGAAGATATAACTAATTGGTTTCCCACTCTCCAAACAAGCATAACACATCTCATCTGTGCACACTTTACTTTTACCTCTGATCTTAACTGTCTTGAGAGCTTCTTTTGAGAAGACAAAGGAGGAGGGCGGGAAGAGGGAGGGTGATTGGCTGGTGACAGTCCTTTCTGTAGAGATTTGGATCTCTTCCCCAAGCATCAGATCAACTGGGAATGCCTTTAAGTTCTCATGTCGCGATCCGCGGTAATAATCGTTCAATATCATCGGTCTAACTCCCGCAGTGATTAATTTTCGATTTGTTTTGGAGTCATTTTCGGGGAACAGCCGGCTGGCGGTCCGGGACCGATGTCATCCAGCTAGCTCGGGTGAAATGCAGTCAAGACAGTCACAGGTGCAACCCGCATACAAAGGTCTCTGGAACCAGATATTCAAAACGCCGTCTGGAGCGGCTCATAGGATTCTAGAACAGAGCAGCATCATCCTGCCATTTGCACCTTTCATATCCATCCCGGCAGTGATTGTGATGCTGGCCTGAACACGCTTGGATGATTTTTTTTCTTTCTCAGGCCCATAAGAGTGATTGTTAAAAATAAATAAAAAGGTAAAGTGAAACCCTTAACACCCATTCTTCCATACTTCTTTTGAGCGGCCCATTTTCACTTGATTCACGTGACTCTATACATGCACTATATTGAATTTTTAATGAACCTAGAAACTGAGGTTTTCCAAACCGAGGCGTTAGGGCACGACCAACGTGAACTAACAAGTGAGCAGAAGCAAGCAAACCTGTGGCGGTTGAGGCGAACAACAAAGATGTGTGAGAAGAGAACCGACACAGAGATGAAAGCTAGAGAATCTGATCAATTTCATTTCTAACCTGAGGTTTTCCAAACCAAGGCGTTAGGGCACGACCAACATGAACTAACAAGTGAGCAGAAGCAAGCAAACCTAGAAGAAATGAAAGATGAGAAAACAACAACGCAGAGAAGAAGAAGAGATGAGAATGAAGAGAACAGACCTGTGGCGGTTGAGGCGAACAACAAAGATGTGTGAGAAGAGAACCGACACAGAGATGAAAGCTAGAGAATCTGATGAAGAAAAAAGGAAAACAACTTTTAGAAGAAAAGAAAACCCCTTTTATATTCCTTCCACCAGATGAACTTGGTTTCGAACCTTGTCTGTCTCATTCCTCCACGTGCCCAACTGTGCCGCAGCGGGGTGAGAATGAATCCCCCGGACCTTCAGTTCAACATCCCCCCTCATTCTCAACCCGATAGGTTGATTCCCTCTATACATGACATGTGCTTAACTTTGCAGAGTGATTTGGTAAAAAAATCGGCTAGATTTGAGTGAGTGGAAATATATTGAGGTGATATAGTGTTGTCCGTTACTTTCTCGCAAATCCAGTGAAGATGAACCCTGAAGTGTTTGGTTCTATTGTGAAAAACCATATTTTTGGATAGAGCAGCTTGATTGTCACATAGCACCCGAATAGGACCTTGATTAGGGATTCCAAGACATTCGAGAAGTCAAATCATCCAGACTGCCTCTCGTCCGCCTTCATAAAGAGCAGTGTATTTGGCTTCTGTAGTGGATGACGAGACTGTGGGATTCTTCTTTGATTTCCATGAGACAACTCCACCGCCAACAAGAACCAGATAAGAAAAATATGAGTATGAGTTAATCTTGTTGTTGGCGTGATCGGCATCCACGTAGATCTGTATCGGCAAGACAGATGCACCAAGAGTTAGACCCCTACTAGACGAGCCGCTGAGATACCGAAGTAGATGAATGCAGGCTGCCCAGTGCTTGGATCCGGGAGTTTTGAGAAATTGGGACAGTTGAGACATTGCAAAAGCTATGTCTGGGCGAGTCGAAACAGCTAGATAGTTGAGTAATCCTATAGCCCGTCTGTAATTGATTCCCATAGATTGAAATTCCGCCTGTTCTTGAGGAGTAGCTGGGACCAGGCGCGTATTGGGAACAAACGGTGTAGATACCGTCCGACAATTCTGCATACCGTATGTATCCAGGATCTTGTTGGTGTAGTTGTCCTGAGATAACCGAATGGAGTTTCCAACTTTAGCAATTTTCATGCCAAGAAGATGTCAAAGTGGACCGAGATCTTCCATAAGGCATCGCTCAGAGATCAATTTCTTGAAGCGGTTTACATCCTTACTGACTATAACCATATCATCCACATACACGTGAACCCAGCATTGCCAGGTTGGATCATCCGATGAAAATAGACACGGATCCGCACTTGAAGGTGAGAATTTAATGAATTTGAAAAACAAAGATAATTCGTGATACCATACACGCGGGGCCTGCTTGAGTCCGTATATCGACTTCAGAAGGAGAAGATATTTGCCTTTTGGAACGGATAGTCCCGCAGGGGGTCGGAGATAAATGGTTTCATCGAGTTTGCCGTTTAAGAAGGCATTCTTGACGTCCATTTGGTGAATGTCCAGACCAGTTGCAACACCCATGGAGAGAAGAGTTCGAAGAGCAGTTGGACGTCCGGTTGGAGCGTAAGTTTCAGCGCAGTTGAGACCTTCCACTTGAAAATTACCGGCGGCACACAGTCTGGCTTTGTATTTTGATAGCTGACCGTTCTCGTCGAATTTTTTACGAAATATCCATACAGTGTTGAGCAACTCTACCCCTGCAGGAATATCAACCACTTTCCAGAGCAGACAATTCCACAGAGATGGCCTCAACCCAGCTTGCCAAATCTGGATTCTTCATGGCTTGCGAGTAAGTCTTCGGGGCCTCTGAGGTTTGATCGAAGAATTGAGCTCCCGCCAGAAAGCATTGAACATGAAAATCAAAATCTTCATCCGCAATTGTCAGATGCGCCAGTTATGCATCCCTAGCTGGTATCTGATCATGATGCCCTTTTTCGATGTGTCTGAAAATTTTGCCGCACGTTTTTGATCGGGAATGTTAATGTAGGCTTGACAACCGAATGATTGAAGACGAGAGTTGTCAAACGATCGGTGGAACCAGAGTTCATAGGCCGTCTTCCAATGCTTCTTACAAGTAGGAGTGATATTTTCAAGGAATACTGCCTCTTCAACTGCATGACCCCACATTGAATGAGGAAGCTTGGCCTGTTTGAGAAGAGCCCTCGCTTTTTCAGTTGTCGTCCTGTTGCCCCTCTCCGCAACCTGATTTTGTTGAGGGGTATAGGGAGCAGTGATATGCGATTCAACTCCTTTAGATTTAAGAAACTCTTTGAACTCGTTCGAGTTAAACTCGCCTCCTCCGTTGGTTGTGATGTGTTTGATTGGCCGAGAGTGAAGTGTGGTGACATTGTTATAGAATTGCTCAAAGAACAAAAAAGCTTCTGATTTCTTCTTTAAAAGATAAACAAATTTATAAGAAGAAAATTGATCGGTTATTTTAAAATATTATTCATAGCCTTCTGATGTGGGAGGGTTGATACGACCACTGAGATCAAAATGAATATATTCAAGACAATGAGTGGATAAGGGAAGAGTCCTGGAGTATGGCAAGCGATGAGATTTGGATAATGAACATGCTTCACAGTTGATTTTAAAGTCTGAAAGATTAAACATTCTTTTTAAGGAGTCATTGCTTGGATGCCCCGCCCGCCTGTGAAGAAGTTCGATGTCAGAATTTGATTTCGAAGTAACATCAGTCGAGAGAAAGGACTTGCCTTTAACTATCTCGAGGTCAATTGTAAAGACGTCTTGATCGTTGAGGTTAACATTGAATAGTGTTTTGCCTTCATTGACTAGTTTTGCTGAGAGAGGACCGGTCCGGACACGATCACATCCCCTTCTAAACAGTCGTCCTTCAGAGATCAAGTTCCCAACTAACTGAGGTACGTGCAAACATTCCAACTTAAGTGATTGACTGGAGACTGTCTTGACGCATACATTTCCGATACTAGGACATAGTGTCGTTTTGCCGTCAGCAAGCTCAATCTTGCATTTGGAGTCGGTCGAGTACGTTGAGAAGGAGGATCTGTCCAATATCATGTGGTGTGAAGCACCGCTGTCCAGGTAGGCTACATTTGGAGCTAGATTCACTGAGAAAGCTTTCTTGATTGTGTGCCATGCAACGCTAGAGGTTGATGATTCATCCTCTTCAGCCTGGGCTTTCTTGGCTTTGGCTTTAGCTTTGGCTCGACGTTTCTCCATACGAGGACGTTGCTTGGGATAGACTTGAAAACACCTGGATTCAGGATGATGAGCGGCCGGATTGTGTACACCGTTTTCGCATTGAGGATCCGAACTCGACGAATGAGAGATCGTTTTCATGGCAGATTCTTCCGTCTTGATGCAAACAGACGGGTCATCAAGTCTTCTGTTGTCCAGAAGCAATTGAAGTTTTTCGACAGTAAGGGGTCGTCCTTGAATGAGAACTTCACGAGTATGTACCAGATCAGAGGGAATCTTCTGTAGAACGTTCTCGCAAAACAGGTTTTCATGTATTTCGAAGTCGGTAGGAATTCCGATTCGTAGTCCAACAGCGTTGAGACAACTTATGTGATTCGTCAACTCAACAATGAATCCTTCGATGTCGTTTCCTTTGAACTTGAAGGTGAGGAAGTTGTTGTACACTTTCGCTTGGTTGGAGATAGCCGTGGATTGGTAATGACTTTCGAGTTTCAGCCACATTGCCCGAGGATCATCTTTGGTGTCCTTAGTCTTGAACTTCTGGTAATTCGTTATCCCCATGTATTGTTGAAGGACTCCGGATGCTTTCAATTTCCGAGATTTGAACGATTTGAGTTCAGCAGCGTCGGTTGGATCAGCTTCATTAGAGGA